GCTGACCGCTGGGGAATACCGAATGGCGGGGCCGAGCCACGGGGTGGCTGTACGGTCGGGCTCCGGAGGGGAACGGGAAAAGGGAGATGTGTCCCCTGGCGCTGTCCCCTCCGGCCACCCCATCCCTGCTGAAAGAGCAGGAGGAGGCTCGGGGCGGGCAGTTGGATGCTATTTCATTGCAATATCGTGTTCTCCCAGTTCTGCAGGTCACGGGGTTGGAGGATGAAATAAAGGACATGACCAAACGCAGGTATATTTAGGCATAGCTTTGGGGTGGGCCAAGATTAACATGTGTGAGCACGTAATCCTTTACCTAGGCAGGATGCTGCAGCACAGGATTAATAAAATTTGCAAATACTTTAGGCTTTGCGTAAAACATTGATATTTAAGGACTAGACACTTTAAAAATATCAGGGCTAGCATCAAACTGATTTCTGTCAGTTTCAGTGTTGCTGTACCTTCAGATTCCCAAAGCATTCTGAAACCAATACCAGCTTTCCCTTAACATATGAAATGGCCAGTGATGACCTGCTCATAGGAAAAAAATCTGTCAAATGTGAAGAGTATGTTTTGAAAGCTCAAAACCCCAATGGGATACGGAAAGAATCTATTTCCAGTTCAGAAACTCAGTAATTTAAAGCAAATTTCATGACTTGGAATGCACCACTTTGACTCATCCATTTTCTGATATTTAGGTTTTACAATATTGCTGCACGTTCTGCTTATGGTGGTGACTTGTACCTAATCCAGCAGTATATTAACCCGAGTTTAGTTCTGTTGTGTGTTTTACTGGGGGCTCTTCTCCACTACTCTTTAATCTTTACTATTTCTTTAAATGCTACTTATTTCATAAAACAAGTTGCACTTTTTAAAAAATGCAGTTAGAATATTAATATTTAATAGTTCAGTTATAAGGGTCCTACATTGCATCACTACATCCAGACTTTTAGAATTAATTGCTGTAGCTGGGATAATTATCTAGGGAGAAAAATATTCTTCCCATTGGAATTGTTTTGAACTGGATTTGTTATCATAATGCTAAAGTGTATGGACTGATGTTAGACTGCTAAATGGAAGCAGTTGGGGATTTTTCCCTAAAAATTCAGTCTGTGCTCAATGAGGTAGGGGAGTATTTTAGGCTTGGTTTCATTCTGCATAATACTGCAACTTGTTTTGAAATCTGATTGCCTGTTGGCTCTTGGTTTAAACAGGATCAAACAACAAGAAGGCTGAATTTTTCAGGATCAGCTGAAGTATTCTTTCAGATAAGTACCTTAGCTTTCTTTGAAAAAAATCCAGTTCATATGCTGGAAAAAACTGATCATTATTTGCATCCAAAATGTATCAAAGTTCATAAATAGCACCAGAATAAATAATGCATACCAGTATGGTGGTTTCAGATCATATAAAGAACTGTCAGACCCACTTTGTCTAGGAGAAAAATTGAAACACAGACATTAAAACACTTGACCAAAGGCATGAAGCACAAGTTGAATGCTACTAATTTGTATGTGCTGGTACTGCAAGTGTCAAACTTTTTGACTATTTTGAAGTGCTTTGAAATGTGAAGATGTAATATTTTCTCTCCTTTTTTAAAACATGGAGAGGAAAAATAACTGCTAAGGCTTGTGGGTGGGTTTACTTCCTAAGAACTTCTTACTGATTTACAACAGTTTGTGAAGTGGTTTTCTTAGTGTCATTCAAAGCAGAGTAAAGGAACAAGTTGAACTTGCATTTTCATTTTCAGCCCTCAACCTTTTAGATTAGCCTGTAAAAACAAGAATCAAAAAATAGGATAAGCAGTGCAAAAATAGGCTGGGATTCTCATCACTCCTGTTTGAGGGCATTTTCCTTCTCTCCCTCTTGTCCTCACCCTGCCTGCTCACCCTCCCTCACTGTCTTGGCAACAAGATTCACTGGCTGACTGTAGCTCACTTGTCTTCTACCCCCTCAAACCAATTAGTTCATCTGTTTAAATCATGCATCGAAGAAGCCTCTCCCTTTTGAGCACACAGCTCACTTGGGGCTCACTCCTATAACCTTCAATTTTTAAGGCAGCAAGAGTTTGCAATTGACTCAGATTACATGAGGATAAGACCTTTTATGTTCTAATTTCTTTGCAAAAGCTCTAGGGTGATGAAGAGGATGCTGGTGCTATCACTGTTTTCCTTCATCTACCTTTTTTTAATTTGAAGAACACAACAATATAGGGAAAAGTCCTTAAATAAGGGAGAAAGTAAATAAAACATCGATTCACATGTCACCATGATTTTTTAAGATTTTCTAAGCCTTCTGATGTTTAAATTCTTGTAATGAACTTTCTCACACACTTTCTGTAAATAACTTATAGTTTTGAATTCTTTTATGGAGGAGGAGAGATTTGGTGGACTCTTGGTTTGTCCAGTGTCATTGGAGAGGTGTCACTGTCACCCTCCAATCCACTGTCACTTTTGGAATTCTATAAATGTTGGAGTCAGAAAATAAACTTCCCCCTTTTTACCTTGAGAACAGCAGTGCGTGCGTGTCGTGTTATTTCGTGCCCTGTAGTGACATCCACGTAACCTCTTCTATTCACAAATGCAGCTTCTTCATTATCAGTCCCAGAAACTTGCAAAGATTGGATTTGGTGAGCAATTAGAACATTCAGTAGAAAACTCAGAGCATCCAGGAGAAAACAGCATTGTAGTAGTAATGCCTACAGCATCCCTTTTTGTCAAAGCTTTTAATCAAAATCACGAACCCATCGACAGTTTTTTAGTGCATATTCTAACGAAATACTAAACACTGCATAGATCCCAGAAGGAAGCCTCCTGCTCTTTTTGCACTCCTAACAACCTCTGGCATAATGAGGTGTGACAAATTGATTTAAAATGTACTTGCAGGAAGAAGGGCAGGCGAGCTTTGCTCTGCCTTGTGGGTGTTGTAGTCGTTTTCCAGCCTCTCTGCCTGGGCTGCAATAGGAGCCCGGACTCGAAGTCCCACAGCTCCCACTAGAGTTCTGCCGCACAGGCTCAGAGCCCATATGCGAGCCGGGGGTGACTACATTGTGTCTATTGTATGGTTTTTTTGTTTTGGTTTGGTTTCGGTTTTTTTTTTTCCCCCGGGCATTTTGCGCCTTTCACGGGAGGTGCAAACCGGGAGTAAAAAGCATGGCAGATGAGCAAGAAATAATGTGCAAACTCGAGAGCATCAAGGAGATCAGGTATGTTTGCTTTGTGCCCCATCGCTGACGCGAAGCAGCTTTTTCCTCGGGGGAGCCGAGGAGTTGCATCCATCCGAAAGTAGCTATTGTGCTGCTGAGGGAAAGAAAACTACCGCTGGCTTCACCACGAGAGCTCGAAATACATTTTTCTGAGCAGGGAGGGAGCATCTGCTGCTGGGAATCGCGGCTGGAATGCGTAGTGCAGGGCGGCAATGGTCGAGCATTTGCAGAGCGCAGCCCCGAGTGATGGCACGGGGAGAAGGCGGAGTGCGCGGGGGGAAGGACCGAGCGGCGGCGGGGGAGTGGTGTCGGGCTGTGCAGGGGCTTCGCTGCTTGTTTGTTTGTTTTTAAGTCCTTTGAGTTAGTATTTCATATTCATGAGGCTCTGAATGTGTTGTTTTGCCCCACTCGCTCCCGGGCTGAGAAGGAATCGGGGATGGCAAGGACAGCAGAGTCTGACACCCAAATATCCAAAGGTGGACGTGCCCTCGGGCAGGGCAGGGCTAGGCAGCGCTGCCGGCACGGGGTGCAGGACAGCCATCTGTCC